TTTATCTGTCAATTTAAAAAGTAAATTTGAAAACTTCAAGTGCTCTTTGACCCACTTCTGTAATCCTGCTAGTCCCTCACTCATGAGTTACCTGTCTGAAAGTCAGGCTTACATAACTTCAAAAAAACTTTTACACTTTGGCAGTAAAGTAGGACCCACTCAGATGCCCAAAGGGACTCTAACCTGCTGGGGCTACTAAACTGAGTGGCCCCAGAAGGGCACTTTGTCAGCTCCTTAAACCCAAGCATGTCTCATTTTGGCTCCCAGGGTACCAAGAGAATACGAAGCAGCAAGATAATTTTACTTCTGCTATTTCTCTGTTGTCTCCTTTTCTTCTGATAATGTGTTTTTGGTTGATGGTTCTTAGCCACATGTGCCTTTCCACACTGGCCCAGAGACCAGTGGCTATGAATCACTAGGGCAGTTTCAACTGTACCCTCTGTATACATGAATCTGGTCTATGCATGGCTGATAACTGAACTCTGCTAGGAATCTGATTTTATGGTCTGACCACGTGGTGGTCTGTCAGGTAGACAATAGGGATCTATTTTTCTGTCAGATGAGACACTTCAAGAAAATCTGATTTTAGTCATTTCTGTGTTTTTGTTAGTGCAAGATCATGTCTCAGGACCAATGAAAGACTGCCTTTTTGAAATCTGGACCAGTTATGTATTTCTCAATTATTTTTACCTGTGATTAAGACTGTTGAAGCTGAAAGTTCTCTGTGTATTTGTGACTGTAAGAGAAGCCTTATTTTTCATGGTATGAATGAGAAATATCTTCAGGGCTATTAATACATTAGATTATAAAGTTCCTCAAACAATCTCTATTCTAGTTGGTTGACAGAGAATTACAAGCACTTCCTTAACTCTATAATCTTAGAATTCCTAAAACATAATGAAACTGAACATCTAATACTTTAAACATGTTAGCCTTTTAAGGACAAAAAAACCAAACCCAGGTTGGTTGTAGTGACAGATGCCTGTAGTCACAACTACTTGGGAAACTGAAGATCACCATCTCTTAAAAAACAACAAAAAAAGAAAAACTCCAAAACTCACAGAAACCAATACTTCAAAATCATTATTATTTAAGAATCCAAATTCATTTAATCAAAATAATTCTCAGACAAATCAGTATTAATACTAATTTAAAAATAAATGTTCTTTCCCTGATTTTACCAGTGTAGAATACATATATACATTTCTTTCTTTTTTTTTTAAAAAAAAGATGGAGTCTTACTCTGTCACATAGGCTGGAGTGAAGTGGTGTGACCTCAGTTCACTGCAACCTCTGCCTCATGGGTTCAAGTGATTTTCCTGTCTTAGCCTCCCAAGTAGCTGAGATTACAGGGATCTGCCACAATGCACGGCTAATTTTTTTGTACTTTTAGTAGAGATGTGGTGGTCAGGCTGGTCTCGAACCCCTGACCTCAAATGATCCACCCACCCAGGCTCCCAAAGTGCTAGGATTACAGGCGTTGAGTCACCGTACCCAGCCTATACATTTTTTTAAAAATGTTTTTTGCGACAGAGATTAATAATACTTCTTAAGCTTTACTGGCTTACTGACCAGGTAGGCTAATATTACTCATCTGTATTTCTGATTATGAAAAGTATTAAATTTGGCCCAGTGTGGTGGCTTAAACATCTGTAATCCTAGCACTTTGGGAGGTCAAGCCAGGATTGCTGGAGCCCAGGAGTTTAAGGCCAGCCTGGGCAACATAGTAAGCCTATCTCTATTCAAAAAACTATAATGATTATATAAAATTACATGTTCAACTAAATAAAATTTTAATATGGACGAACTTTATTTTTTGGAGATAGAGTCTCACTCTGTCACTCAGGCTAGAGTGCAGTGGTGTGATCTCAGCTCACTGCAACTTCTCCCTCCTGGGTTCAAGAGATTTTCCAGTCTCAGCCTCCCAAGTAGCTGGGATTATAGACATGTGCCACCATACCTGGTTATTTTATTTATTTATTTATTTTTGAGACAAAGTCTCACTCTGTTGCCCAAGCTGGAGTGCAGTGGCCTGATCTCAGCTCACTGCAACCTCCACCTCCTGGGTTCAAGTGATTCTCCTGCCTCAGCCTCCCGAGTAGCTGGGACTACAGGCACATGCCATCATGCCCAACTAATTTTTGTATTTTTAGTAGAGATGGGGTTTCACCATGTTGACCAGGCTGGTCTTGAACTCCTGATGTCAAGTGATCCACCCCCTTGGACTCTGAAAATGCTGGGATTACAGGTGTGAGCCATGGCACCCAGCCAGATAAACTTAAATTTTTTTTTTTTATTTTTTGAGATGGAGTCTTGCTCTGTTGCCCAGGCTGGAATGCAGTGGCACAATCCCTGCAATCTCCGCCTCCCAGGTTCAAGCAATTCCCCTGCTTCAGTCTCCAGAGTAGCTAAGACTACAGGTACACACCACCACACCCAGCTAATTTTTTTATTTTTTTAATTTTAGCAGACACAAGGTTTCGCCATGTTGGCCAGGACGGTCTCGATCTCCAGACCTCATGATCCATCATGCCCAACTCAGACAAACTTTTTGATACCAGAAGTTGGATGTTGCTCAGTTGTCAGGGTAAGCGTAACTTCCAGGATATTTCATTAACTTCAAGACTTTGGTTAGACTGATTGTTACTCTTTGGAATATGCAGTTAATTTCCAAGTGAGACAGACACAGAATATAATTTTTTACTTTTGTTTAGAGACGGGTCTCACTATGTTGTCCAGATGGTGTGATTTCATAGGTGTAAACACAGTGCACTGCAGTCTCAAAATGCTGGCCTCAAACCATCTTCCCACCTCAGCCTTCCAAGTAGCTGACAACACTACAGGTGCACACCACCATGCCTAACCACCGAGTATATAATTGAACACACACATACACATGCTCTTTTTAATATAACCACAATGTCATTAACGTACCCAACAAAACACAGCTTCTTAATCTAATACCCAGTCTGTGTTTAATGTCTTTTTCCAGTTGTGTTGTCCTAATTCTGATTTTTTTTTTCACCATAACTATGATTAGTTTACCCCTGTCTAGAATGTAGCAAGAGCAGAATCACATCAGTATATATACACTTTTGGTAAGGCTCTTTCATGCAGCATGATAGTTTTGAGATTAATCCACATTGTTGCAATGTATAGTCAACCTGTCCTTTTCTATTGCTGAGTAGCATGCAACTCTGTCTTTTACATCTAACGGTCTCTGGAAGTTCCTAAAGGTCCCTGGGAAATCACAAATATTTGTGTTTTTTTTCACCTTGTAACAAGAAGGATGCTAAAACTAGTTTCTTTGGGGTGTTCTGTATTTCTTAAATAGCTCAACATTATTAGGTTCTGTCAAATCAAATGGGAAGCATGGTTTTTCTCTGGATATTTCTGTATAGATAAAAACTTTTAACTTTTTTTTTTAAACAGGCTACACACTTTACAAGATACACTGGAAGGCCTTAGGGCCTTGTCAATGCCCACAATATGTTCTTAGCTTTCAGATAAACATTGCTCCAATCTTAATTAACAGTTATGTACTATACCTTAATAAATTTTAACTCTCCTCCATCCTGATTTTGTTGGTTACTGTATAAACTGACCATGGTTATCCAGTCTCGTTATTAACAAGTGGTTTCTTCCTTCCTCTCTTCCTAGTATAGAAAGTGGGTCTACAACAAAGAATGACAGTCACGGAGTCTTGCAGAGGGACTATGCTAGACACCTGACTACTGATACTTCAGGAAACTGACTCATGAATACAGACTTTGGAGTATAAGCGACATCCCTTAAACAACTGGCCAGACTACACCAAAGGACTCAGTTGAGATTTCTGGGACCCTTTGTGAAGCAGACAACCCGAGATCCAGTGGAACATAATGTAATGACTGATGGAATTAATTAAAGAAATCTAACTGTAGTTATTTGAAATATGGTTGATTTTTTTACATGTTCTATTTTCTCTCAGGTATAAGAAGCCCCTTTTCATTCATTTTTAACAAAACTGCCACTTAGCAAGCTATGCTTTTACAAATGGAAAAAAAACAAAAACAAAAACAAAACAAAACAACCTTTAAAATGTTATCTTGTTTTCCCTGACTCTCAAAATCCAGAAATTAAAAATACTTACACTGGTTCTCTTCAATTTTTGTGATATGCAGCTACTCGCATAAGATCATTAAGAATTGGCCCCCCTTTTTACCAGAACAGAATCAGACAAACTGATTGTGCAACCCAGGCCGTATCTGGAATTATATAATTAAGAATTTCATTTAATAAGGTATAGAATGGTCACTATTAAAGAATAAGAACTGTAGTTCATGTGTTTAACTCATGCTCAGGAAACTGGCCTGGTGCCTATCCTGTCGTGCAGGATCTCAGCCTTCTGTTGTATACTGAAGTCACTTTCTGGAAGACCAGAAATTTTAGCAGATTTTTGGAATTTTAAAGAGAGAGGAATTGATCTGGATTTACAAATATTACAGCTGAAATATGTAGAAATAATTTCTTGATTTTTTTTTTTTTTTGAGGTTGGTTTCCTAGTTTTAGAAGAGCCAATAAGGACAGACAAAAACAAAAAAGCAAAAATCTCACCTGGCTAATATTTAAAATACAATATTAAGATTCCTTATGAAATTTCCTGAGGATAATTCGCTAGCCTCACTAGCTCCTAAGACATCTTGCAAACACAATGAGGTGTGTGTGTGTGTGATCAAGAATAACCTCCAAATATTGTATACAATAAGGGAAGCAACGAACAAAAATTACAAAAACCCTGAAAATAAGGTTTAAAAAAAAGGCATGTTCTTTCAATGTTATACTTTTTTTTTTTTTTTTCCCAGAGATGGAGTTTCACTCTTGTCACCTAGGCTGGAGTGCAATGGCATGATTTTGGCTAACTGCAACCTCCACCTCTCAGGTTCAAGCGATTCTCCTGCCTCAGCCTCCCAGATAGCTGGGATTATAGGCGCCTGACACCATGCCTGGCTAATTTTTCTATTTTTAGTAGAGACAGAGTTTCACCATGTTGGCCAGGCTGGTCTCGAACTCCTGACCTCAGGTGATGCACCTGCCTTGACCTCCCAAAGTGCTGGGATTACAGCGTGAGTCACTGCGTCCAGCCTCAATGTCATACTATTGTCTAGCAGAGCCAATCAAGGATTATTTAATACTTTAGGGTAGCACTGTCCAAAAGAACCTCTTCAGTGATGGAAATGTCCTATAGCTGTACTATTCAAATTGGTGGCCACTAGTTACATGTGACCATTAGCACTTGAAATGCAACCAAGGATCTGAATATTTAATTTCACCAAAGTAATGCAGACAGCAACATGCGGTAGTGGCTATCATACTGGTTTGTGCAAATCCAGCCCTTGGACTCTTCTGTATATAAAACCCCTGAGATAAAAATACTTTTTACGTTTTTAAAGGGCCGTAAAAACTGAAACAAAAAATAAATAAAACAGAGACTTTGTGGTCCACAAAGTCTAAAATATTTATCATTTGGCTCTTTACAGAAAAAGTACACCAATGTATGTCAGAGGAGAATGTATTTTTTGACATTTATATTAAATAATGTCCAGAATCTGTGAAATTACCTTATAACTTGTAGATTTTTGTCCAGTATAGATACAGATGATTTCTGTCTGGCATAAAAGACAATCCAAAGAGCATGGTTTCATTACCTTGTAAGACGGTGATACTGTGAAATATATATTTCCTGGAATACAACTTTTAAAATTCTTAGAATTTCAAAGTGATAATCTCTTTTTACACGCTAATGAGTTGAACTAGGACTGGCATCCATAGGTAGCTTCAGAATGGGGCTGGTCAGCAAAGAGATCAAAATAGAATGAGAGGGTTAAGGTTTCTGCCCTACTTCAAATCTCCCAGGAGGGGACAGGGGCTGAAGGTTAGTTTGACCATCAGTGCCAATGATTTAATCAATCATGCCTATGTAATGAGGCTTCCATTAAAAATCCCGGCTTTGGAGAGTTTCAGGAGAGCTAGTAGCTATCCTGCAGGGTGTTGTGCCTGGAGAGAGTATGGAAGCTCTAAGCCCTTTCCCTCATACCTTGCCTTATGCATTGCTTCATCTGTAGCCTTTATAACAGCCTTTATAATTGACCAGTAAATGTCTTCCCCGGGTTCTTTGAGTTGCTCTAGCTAATTAATAAAACTCGTGCAGTGAGTCGTGAAAAACTTTATAGCCCATCAGTCATAATGACAAAACAACCTGGGTAACTTTTCCCTAGATCAGAAATATAGAACCTGCCAAAGGAATTCACTTCGTAGATTGGTGAAACCACCCTTGCAAAAATTATAACTGAGGAAATTACGACAGTAAAAGAAATCAGACCCAACTGACTCCATGATGTCCTGCCTAGAGTCTGATAATAAAAGACTCCATCTTGCTTCTAACCTTTGAGCTGTCCTTATTCATTCCTGGGAATAGGCCGAACTAACTTTGGGAAGGAATTTAGTTTACGGTTTGACTCTGAAACAAAACTGATAATAGCTCTTTCTCAAAAAGACTCCCTTCTTGCCTGGGGACCAGTCTGCCTCTGCAGGACCAACAAATTAGCTACAAGATTAGAAATGATGGTTTAAGGGTCATGCAGCTTCTGGCTCCAAGAGGCTGAACCTCCCCAAATTGCTCCTGGAGACAGCATCACTACTGTAAAACCTAGTATCAGTGCTTGAGATATTTTGCAGACCATGCACTCAATGGATCAGCTGACACCACCCAGACCCATAATCTGGCTCAACCAGCTCTGCCATCCCACCCAGGAACAGAAGATAGCAAGAAAACCTCATTTCAACCCCCACGATTACATTTTCAACCTGACCAATCAGCATTCCCCACTTCCCAAGCTCCTACTCACCAAATTAGCTTTAAAAACTGATCCCTGACTGCTCTGGGAGAGGGATTTGAATAATAATAAAACTCCAGTCTCCCACACAGCCAGCTGTGTTGTGAATTACTTTCTCCACAGCAATTCCCTTGTCTTGATAAACTGGCTCTGTCTAGACAGAGGGCAAGGTGAACCCGTTGAGCAGTTACAAATTTGGAGGCTTGTCTGGGATTGCTCTTGTGGGTACCTGCCTGCGATTTGGTAGCACCGCTCTGGCAATGGATCCAGAGGCCAGCCCAAGTTGCTACCTAGTTCTCTTGGACTAGGGGCTGACTCTGACACCATCTCTACTGGCAGGGCACTGCTGACCCAATGCACATGAATTTAATTGCAATGGAGAAACAGTCCTGGGGAGACATCCCATAACGGCAGCCTTATCACAGGGTGTCTGTCTGTAGCCCCATTATGGGCTATCTGGTTCAGTGAGTATCCTAGGCACTGCCAAAGCCTCCTTCCGTCTCCCAAATGGTTCTGTAGACCCCACAGTGTGGTAAGTGTCTGCAGCTCCACCATGGAGTGTCTCAGTTTGGCTCCTTTTGGGGGGGTTTCAGTTGGCTCTCCTTAATTAGTAGGAAGAGTCTTGATTAGGGCGACTTCTCCTCAATCCAGAAGATTTAGGGGAGATTTCTCAGGCAAAAAATAGGAGAATAGGGTGGAAGGGGTATTCTGGAATTCTTGGTTAGGGATCTTGATTTGGAAGCCCTTATGTCTGTCTTGTCTTTGTGTTTGTTTCTGCATGTGGAAGGGATCTCTGAAGACATTGCTGACAGAAGTACAGCAGGCCTATCTTGGAGAACCTTTATTTGTCTTGTCATATTTGGAGGGCCCTGAAGAAAGCTTAACAGGCTTGACTCAGGGTGACTTGCTCTTAGTCTTGCTCAGAGACCACCCATCAAATTATGGTTTGGAGGTCATTCCTCCTCACCTGGAGTGAATCAAAGACAACAGGGACCTACAGGAGAAAGTTTGAGCCTTGCCAGGTTGATACTGGGTGTTTGAGCAAGGTTACTAGTGTCTATTTTTTAATGTGTACTTTGCTTCGGCTGGGATGGAAAATATTAATTCGGCTCCCCATGCTGCCCAATGGGCAGCATCTTGCAAAATTGAGAAGCTTTTGCCTATTGTTCCTTAAAGCAGACAAGGATGATTTTCTTTTGTAACAGGGCTTGGCCCCCAAAGCTATGATGCAGTGAGCAAGGTCATCAAAGCCACTCTGTGCTGGAAGCTGCAGAGAAAGGGAACCAGGTATCCTGGTATGTTGGCAAAAAGGGCATAAAATTCTTACTAGTCAAGCTTCTGGTCTCTCTCACTCGTGTGTGTGTGTGTGTGTGTGTGTGTGTGTACACAAATTATAAAATTCTTACTAGTCAAGCTTCTGGTCTCTCTCACTCGTGTGTGTGTGTGTGTGTGTGTGTGTGTGTGTGTGTGTGTGTGTATACAAATGGTAAATATCACTGTCTCCTCTGGAAAGGTCTGATTAACAGAAAAAAAGGATTAGTGAGGCTGATCCTTAGGCAGTAGCAAATCTGGTACCCTTTGTGTTAAAAATTTGTCTTTGTGTTACTCTGTAACAAAGAGAGGAGTAACAGGACAGAATGCTGGGCTTAGGCCTGCTATAAACCCACTTTTCTTTTTTTTTTGAGACGGAGTTTCGCTCTTGTTACCCAGGCTGGAGTGCAATGGCGCGATCTCGGCTCACCGCAACCTCCGCCTCCTGTAAACCCACTTTTCAAAAGCCAGTCTGGCAGGGAGCCCTGAAACCAAAACTGGATGAAGCTTCTCTCTTATGTCCTTGAGAGCTTAACTTTGTAGCCATGTGGGGATATTTTCTCTTGATCTCTGCCATCCAGAGGACAGGAATTTTGCGATTCAAAATCTTGAGTAGGTAAAAGCCTTTGCAAGTTTAAAATTGGATCCTCTAGGCTCCTTCTGGGAAGAGCAACAGAACCCGCTGAATGCTGTAACTCAGTAGCCAAGGCTGCCTTTTGACAGTGGCGGCCTGGGTCCAATTCTTGGCTTCAGAAATGGTTCCCTCTGGTTTATTTGTATGACTTTGCTACTTTTGATGGTCCCACCCCCACCCCAATGGCTAGCTTCTGATTTCCTGTCTTGAATTTTTCTTTCTCTGAACTACCCTTGGGAAGATTCTGTATCTTGTAAAAAGAAACTGCTTACCATCTCTTGGAAACAAATTATACGTCCATGGTTAAGCTATAATCCTAGCTAAAACTTATTAATTTCACATGGGAGGTTACCTAAGGCAAAGTTCAAAAGCCAGAAATATTGACTGTCCTGGCTAGAGTCTGACAATAAGAGATTAACAAAAAAAAATTTTTTTTAAAGCTCTATGGTTAAAATCAACTTAATTAAAAATGGATATACAAGCTATATATATTTTAAAAGGCCTCTTGTTTTTTCTCTCTCTTTTCTCGGATATTGGTTGTTTTTGAGAAAAAGTTTTCTTCTCAGTCAACTATTTCTCCACTTTGCCCTCCTGATGCCCACATGAGAAAACTGATAATTTCGATATCTGGTAACATGGAAAAAACCTGTCTTCCTCATGGAACCCCACTTGAAAGCCAATAGATTACTCTTAAAATCTAAGGCTCTGTTCGGCTTTATGTTACCTGACTTTTTTTTTTTTTTTAACTTTTGGGTGTATCAGAAATTACTCTGCATTATGGGAGAGATTTTAGCCTTGATGTGTAATAAGTAGGTACAAAATATACTTTAAGAGATGGCTAATAACAGTTATGGAGGGATGCTTTGCTCACTGCATGTTTGAATCAGAGAAGCATGCTCTTGGTCACCTGGAAAGTAGGAAGGAAAAATCCCTAACCTCTAGTGACAGATGAGACTCCCATGGGGAAGGGCTAATTACAAATGGACTGATTACCAAGTGGAGGTTGCAATAAGCTGAAATCACGCCACGGCACTCCAGCCTGGGTGACATAGCAAGATTCCATATCAAAAAAACAAGAACAACAGAACAAAATGGGGTGGCTTTGTGTTGCCATGTAATTAAATGCATGCTAAAAGCACTGCACTATTCTCCAACATTTTCCTTTTGAAAATCCAGGATGCAATATTAAAATGGGACCCTTAACTTTGAGAATTTTTTTTTTCTTTTTTTTCTTTTTTTTTTTGGCTTTTCAGCTGTGCCTGCTTTTTAGGCCCTAGGAACTACATGCTTTCCCAGCCCTGATTCTTGCAGGGCTCCACCCTGAAGCCGGTAATCCAACTGAACTTAAGAAACTGGCAAAGGAAAAAATGTTACAACTACTGGATCGTCTACGTAAGTGTTGTATGTGTGATGTTTATATAAAAAAGCTCTAATTAACTAGCTGAAACAAAAATAAGCACTTAAATCAGATATTTTGTCAGAAATACTAAAACTAATGCCCTTTAGTTCATATCACTTTAGTAATCCTTTGGTAATGAACACAGTTTTAAAGATTACTGGTAAATAAAAATATCTTCAAAATTTAGACATTCCATCTAAATTAGGTGAGCTACATATACAAGCTATCTATCTATCTATCTATATATATACATATATATATATATATATGTGTGTATTTACACACAGCTTGTATATACAGTCTCATTAGGTTTGTTAAATGCTCTAAGGTCATGAACTGCTTAACTTTTGAAAATTGTTCAATATACTTACCTTTAAGCCATTACATTCTAGATAAGGCCTGGAGACATGTGAAATTAGCCCCCATAAAGAAAAGACTTTATATAAATTAATCATGTATGATAAATTCTTGTCCTAAAGTAAAATGTTTAAAGAGAGGGATGTTTAGGACAAGTCAGAAAGTCCAAGTATGTCATAGATGGTCTAAGTCAAGAAAGGGAATTTATGCGAGAGATGTATAATTTAAAGGTTATTAAGTCTCCTAAATGCTTCATAAACTGCCACTGTGACTCAACTATACAACCTATCTGCTTTACAGCTAGGTAAAGCCTGGTGACATGTGAAGGTAGCCAAGTCCCCTAGCTATGCTGGAAAGAGTCAGACCTTATCTGCATTTCTGACTGGTATCTGTTCTAGTTTGCAAACCTGGTACATAATTAAAATCGCTTACTAACCAGGCTTTTAACTGAAAGTAAAAGTTGCTAAGAGTTAACAGCATAACATGCATTTGAGACTACTGAAGAAACAGTTCTACACACAAAGTGTGTAAGGAAAGTAGAACGTACTTTTGGTAAAAGATTCTAAGAAGGCATGAGGATATGAATTTCTTGCCTAAGTTTACAGGGCTAAATGACTGTGTTAAGTGAAGAAGGAAAAATCTAAAGGTTTAAATGAGTTGTGGAAGGTTTATAAACAATTAATGTGCGAAAACACATTGGCTAAAGTTAAAGAGGTATTATTCTGGTTTTCCATAAATTGAACATTGGAATAAAAGCATAATAGTGTCCTAAAAGATTGTTCTGCTTTTTAACAAAAAATATTATAAAGGGTTATAAAAACGTTTTAAGAATCTTACCTTATGGTCAAATAATTAAAACTAAATAGATTTGTAAAATGCTATTTAAACTAGCTTTAAGCTGGGCGTGGTGGCTCATGTCTATAATCCCAGCACTTTGAGAGGCTGAGGTGGGATGAGGTCAGGAGTTCACGCCCAGCCTGAGCAAAATGGTGAAACCCCATCTCTACTAAAAATACAAAAATTAGGTTGCAATGAGCCAACATTGTACCAGTACACTCTAGCTTGGGAGACAGAGCAAGACTCTGTCTCAAAAAAAAAAACAAAAAAACAAAAAACAAAAAAACTAGCTTTGGCATTAAAGATGCACTAATGCAAACATGAAATTTGGTTTTCTCTTTTGAAAATAATTTTTATGTAATATTTAAAAATAATAAGAGGTTTTTGTTTGGCTTTTAAAGTAAACTACAAAAAAAGGGGGGATGTGGAAAGAAGAGACAAATTCAGTTGGCATCATGCTATTTTCACTGGATCTTGCTGTTTGGAAAGATCTCTATCAGAGATAAGAGAGCTGTCTGCTCTCTACCAGAATAAAGGTTTTTTCTTTTTTAAAATTTGTGAGTTATCATTTTGGCTAAATGAATGGCTTATGGTGACCTGGGATTCTACACTGTGATATCCAGTGGTTTTTTTTTTAGGGGGGACAAGGTCTGGCTCTGTTGCCCAGGCTGGAGTGTAGTGATGCAATCTCGGCTCACTTCAACCTTTGCCTCCTGGGTTCAAGCAATTCTCATGCCTCAGCTTCCCAAGTAGTTGGGATTATAGATGTATACCACCACATCCAGCTAATTTTTGTATTTTTTGATAGAGACAAGGTTTCATCATGTTGGCCAGGCTGGTCTCAACTGCCTGACCTCAAGTGATCTGCCCACCTCAGCCTCCCCAAGTGCTAGGATTACAGGTGTAGCCACTGTTCCTGGTTAATATCCAGTGTTTAAACAAAGGTTAACATTTTAAAATATAAAATGGTGTTCAATTCTCTTTGGGTGTTATATAAATACATTATGAGTTACAAAATTTTGAGATTCCTATAATTCTGATATGCCTCACTATATGTTAGCAATAATATTAGAATTGTTATGTTAAATTCCTGTGTGCCATAGAGGTAACAAATTTCCTTGTCAATTGTGTCTGAGTGTGGCTGCCCTAAAATGTTTTTTCATTCACAGACAACTGTCTTGTTTTGATCCTATTTAGAAGATGGTTTTATAATTTATAAATATAATTCTAAAACTCAACAGGTGCTCTTGAATGCAAGTTTCTACTAACACTGGAGGTTGTGACATTGGAATAAAAAACTTTCAGGACTCTCATGGATCGCTAAAATGTTCATGAATATCAAGCAGAACAGGAGTTAACTGAACGGACTGAACAGATAACTAATCTTTTTCTTTACATTTTTTGCTTAAAATGTTGCTGTTATTTTTTGTTTTTTTTCTGAGCCAAGAAAACTTTCATGGCCAGGTGCAGTGGCTCATGACTGTAATCCCGGCACTCTGGAAGGCGTAGGAGGGTGGATCACTTGAGGCCAGGAGTTCAAGACCACCCTGGCCAACATGGCAAAACCCCATCTCTACTAAAAGTACACAAATTAGCAGGGTGTGGTAGCGCATGCCTATAATTCCAGCTACTAGGGAGGAGAATTGCTTAAACCCAGAGGGTGGAGGCTGCAGTGAGCCGCGATCACACCACTACACTACAGTGTGGGTAATAGATGAGACTGTCTAAAAAGAAATAGAAAAAGAAAGAAAACTTTCTTTTGCACTATTTAGAGCTTTTAACAAGTCAGTATATTCCTGTAAATAAAATTTGAAGCATATTTGCTTCTATCTGATTTCTCCAGAATTTAGAAACTATTTGTGAGCATTTTTAACTTATGGCAATATAATTATTTGCATAAATGCAATAAGAAAGTTTCCTTTTCTAGCAGGACACAATGGGAGAAACTGGTTATTATACCAAGGCTTTGACTGGAATGGCGTGCTTTCCTTGAAGGAATCAAACCTGAATTATAGAGAGAAACAATAAAAGCCCCTTGGGAACACTAACCTCACACCTTGTCTACACAGTACCTGTACAGGGTTCCTGACCTGTGGTAAGTAAAGAATGTCACTTTCTGACAGGCCCAGAAGCCCCAAGTTATCTTGGGACCTCAAGAGGAGAGGACTTTACCCAATTCACAGCTATCTGATGGTATAAACCCATGGCTGGGCTTCGCTTTTAAAAGTCTTAACTGAGATTCCTTATAGAACTGAATTCCATTGGAGCCAATTTAAAAGTCCTATGTGAGAAATAATTATTCTTCCTGTGCTTTATGCAAGTAATCAGGCCAAATATAATGAACTAAAGTTTATTTTGCAAACAAATCAGTCCTATCATGATCTGTTTTTAATAAAAATCAGGACTGGGGAGAAAAAATGTGTTTCAAAAACTGTAGTATGCCTGTTATTGTTTTTGAGTTCTTATTTTTTTTTTATCTGCAATTTAGATTTTGGTGGGTCACAAGGCCCCAAACTAATGCTTTCAAATCTTTACTTTTAAAACTGGATTTTGCACTCCTTATCCTAGAACTCCTATAGTACACTATCTATTTAAATACTGTATTAAAACCATAGATGAAAATTCTAACACCTTTGTCATGAAGCCTTGGAACCTCAGCCTGGCCTGTGTGAGTACACTCAGTCGCAAAGCAGTTCCACTCTACTCACCTTAGGGTCAACACCATCCCCCACTATGTCCCATTAGGAGGAAGAAGCCAGAGTGACTGACAGCCCTTTCCCAACTTCACAGCCCACACCTTAAAGATAAGGTGCTGTAAAGACCTGGCAACAACCCAAATGCCCATCAATGATAGACTGGACAGGGAAAATGTGGCGCATATATACACTATGGAATATTATGCAGCCATCAAAAACGATGAGTTTGTGTCCTCTGTAGGGACACGGATGAACCTGGAAACCATCATTCTCAGCAAACTGACACAAGAGCAGAAAATCAAACACCACATGTTCTCACTCATAGGTGGGTGTTGAACAATGAGAACACATGGACACAGGGAGGGGAGCACTACACACTGGGGTCTGTTGGGGGGAAATAGGGGAGGGACAGCAGGGGGTGGGGAGTTGGGGAGAGATAGCATGGGGAGAAATGCCAGATATAGGTGAAGGGGAGGAAGGCAGCAAATCACACTGACACGTGTGCACCTATGCAACAATCTTGCATGTTCTTCACATGTACCCCAAAACCAAAAATGCAATTAAAAAAAGAAATAAAAATAAATAAGGTGCTGTTAAATCCAAAGGGAGGGTTTGCAAAAACTGTAACTAAGGAAATTATGACAGTGAAAAAAATCAGACCTGACTGACTCCATCTTGCTTCTAACCTTGGAGCTGTCCTTGCTCATTCCTGGGAATAGGCCGAACTAACCTCGGGAAGGAATTCAGTTTATGGTTTGACTCTGAAACAAAACTGCTAATAGCGCTTTCCCAAAAAGACCTTCTTGCCTGGGGACCAGCCTGCCTCTGCAGGACTAACGAATTAGCTACAAGATTAGAAATGATGGTTTAGGGGTCATGTAGCTTCTGGCTCCAAGAGTCTGAACCTCCCCAAATTGCTCCTGGAGATAAAATCACTACCATAAAACCTAAGATCAGTGCTTGAGATATTTTGCAGACTCTGCATTCAATGGATCAGCTGACACCACCGAGACCCATAATTGGCTCAACCAGTTCTGCCATCCCACCCAGTAACAGAAGACATCAAGAAAATCTGACTTCGACTGCCCACACCCCCAACTCCGTGATTCCATCTCCAACCTGACCAATCACCACTTCCCACTTCCTAAGCCACTACCTGACAAATTATCTTAAAAAAACTTGCATCCCCAAATGTGGGGAAACTAATTTGAGTAATAATAGAACTCCAGCCTCCCACACAGCCTGTGTGAACTACTCCTCCTTTGCAATTCTCATCTTGATAAATTGGCACTGTCTAGGCAGAGGGCAAGGTAAACTTGTTGGGCGGTTACACTAGTATTAACTTCCTGAAAAGCCATTACTAAGATTCTGAATTTAGGGTATATGAAGCTATCCTCACAGGGTTAACAAGAATTCTGGGCAGAAAGATAGTTATACTTAAGCATTAATAAAACTAAACTTAGACTTAAGCATTAATAAAACTAAACTTAGACCTACTTTCTTGAAACTAAAAGTCATGTAGCAATAGATACTGAAAATCTACATCTCTATTTTCCTATAGACAAAATTTCTAACCTTAGAATCATAGGCTTTTGTTTAAGAATTGCATAGATGTTTTTCAGATGTCAAATTCCGGCAGAACAGCTGATGCTAACCAGTCTGAAGACCTCAACAGGGGAACAGAATCAGCATGAGAATACAGCTTCTTCTTCAACCTGTCCTATGGCTTCACCCTGCACTCTAACCAATGAATGATCTCTACACTCTGGCCAACTTCAAAACCTTTAAATGCCCTAACCCCAAACTCCTTAGGGAGTCAGATTTGAGGTTTCCTCATGTCTTGTCATTCAGTGGCCCTACAAATAAACCTCTTATAGTGGTTACAAATAACCACCCTGCTGCAACCCAGTGTCTGTGCATATTGACTTGCTGTGCATGTAAGGCAACAAACCTACGACGGCTGCATGCATAAGCCTCTGTATAATGCTGCAAAACGAAGACAAAGTTTTGGTGGATGTTGAATGCATGGCTCACAATGGAACAATCACATGGTTATACATGATCCAGACATAGGTGGTTATTCCCAAGCAAACAGCCAGGCTGGAGGACTAGGTAAAAGGCTCCCTTGAGAAGGGGGACTACCCAACTCCCTCTATAGATGCCAAGTGGAACACCCCAGACAAAGTGACTGATGTGCATGCCATATGGGACTGGCTTTAAAATGACTGCGGTACTCACTCACCAAATATGCCTGCCTCCCAGGTCTTTTAAGAATTGCTTAAGATGTTTTTCTTAGGAAATTGGTAAATGTTGTACTTAAGGGTGCCCTTTAGGGTGGAAGCCCCCACATAACCTTACTGCTGCAAAACCAAAAAATTCAGGAAGCCATATCAAGTTTGCTTCCTCAGCTTCCCTTCATTAGGTCTTACAGACATTAATAAAAACATTAACAAAAGAATAGCGAAAGGGAGGGAGGAGAGTCAAAGGACACCTTCCAGGAAGGTGAAAAATTTTAAGGGATCATTAACAGGGTGAGTAAGTAGTCATTTATATGGGTAAGGGAAAGAAAGCGGAGAGTCACAGGACTCCTCTCAGCAGAGTGGTTCTTAAGAAATGGCATGAATAACATGAAAATTGATGGGGCTAAAACAAAGATTTTAATACAACACTACTGAAAAATAAGGTAGGCCAAAGGAAGCCCCTCTTGGTCCCTCAATTTACCCCACATTGGAGAAATTTAAAGTCAGAAGGCAAAGATTACAATGAGAAATCTGATTTGAAATTGCCTGGGCAGATTAATCAAGGCAAAATTGACAAAGCCCAGGGGTCCCTTTGTTTACCCTCTGGCTGGGGACTCAGAGCCTCTCTGAGGTACACAAGTAGATAAAACCTTCAGGTGTGGTAAAAAGAAATCCCTGAAACTCCTTGACATAGGAGTCCTGTGACCCACTGGCAAAGAAAGCCCTGACTAGGGCTACTAGATTGTAAGAATATGGGAAGGTAAGAGTTAACAGGATTATATAAACTGGAATGGTAATAA